ATGCATGCACACATATAAACACACACACACACACACACACACACACACACACACACACACACAGTGGAACCACTGAGTGCTCAGTCTCTCAACACATAAGAGTTGAAAGTGGCACCTCATCTTGTCATTGACACTAAGCCTTCCCCAACAATAGCCTCTCTCTTTCCCTCCCTCCTTTCCTCCCTCCCCCTTCCTGCAGCTCCCCCTCCCCCCCAGCACTAGGGATGATGAGCCCACAGGTGCTGGGTGAGAGAGTGTTCTCCCACAGTACTGCATCCCTGCCCTGTGTTCATTCTAACCTCCTCATCCCTTGGATAGGCTCCAGTCTACAAAGCGTGGTGGCTCCCAAGCTCACGTCTGGCTCACATCTGGCTCCCTTGGGCTCAGAGCCCCAGCAAAATTTTCCAAGTGACTTTTATTTAACAAAAGCATTTTTTTTTTTTTCTGTAACGAGAGGTGAACTCAAGCCCCAGAGGAGCGGCCTTGAACCTGAACACAAGGGAGCTGGCTGGTTGGTAAAGGGGGCCTTTGATTGGCAGTCTTACCGGGGTTAGAGTTTATTTGTCAAGACCAGAGGGCTCTGACAGTGCTGGTCAGAGCCTTCAGTTCAAATCCCGCGCACCGCTGGGCAGTGATGCTTCGCCTCTAAGTACTGAGGACTTTCTGTGGTACCCTTGCCAAGCTAATTGCCCTGTATCCTGATGTCCGCTGCTCTCACACATGCTAACACGTTCTGTGATCTGAGTGCCCCTGTTTTGTTGATGGGGAGCCTTGAAGCTCAGACAGAAGTCATGTGCCAGCTAGGAGGCAACAAAAGTCAGATTTGAACTCTGCATCCAACCACGGCCTCTGGCACCTCCGAGTTCACAAACTCTCAGGACGCTGCACAGAAACCCAGCTGGGTTGCTATGGGGCTAATGCAGGACCAGCTGGCGGCCTGCCCTGGCAATGCTCAGAGGCTGTGTGGGTCACTATCCCCACCCAAGGTCACCAGGCCAGG